CATCTGAAATGAGAAAAAAAACACAAATGCCCCTAATAGGGACAAACTTACAAACGGGGCCCCGGTTATGTTAATAAAAGAATATATGGTTATAACTAAGGTCTAATTAACAATAATACGATAAAAACCTCTACATATGCATATCCTCCCTCCTGGCAGTTATTTGAAAGTCCTAGTGCTTTGTGGTGCGAAAATAAATTAATTCTGTAACCCTGAAATAAAAAAAAAGATTTATGCATATTACTTAGCAGTATGCCAATATTTTTTATGTCTTGATACATCAATTAGTCCGACAAATTTCTCCTATGGGTTGTGGAAGTAGTTCTTGGTACTCACTTGGTAAGCAATTTCCTTGGAAAGACATCTGAAATGAGTTGAAAAAACACACACGTGCCCCTAAAAATAGGGGCAAACATACAAACGGGGCCCCGGTAACAAAAATAAAAATATTATATACTTATATCTAACCAAGGTCTAATTACTTAATATTAACTTATGAATACGAGAAAACCTGTAGGTATCCATATTGAGGTGAACTGAAAGGGTTAAGGGTACTCTTGTTAGAGTGTAAAGATTGCTATTTGGTATGTTTAGCATCTCACTCCCCAATATGAAGGGTTTACCTTAGCGCCCTAATTCGACTCAACAAAACCTGCAGTTACCAGTGGAGATTTTAACTAACTACACAATTAAAACAGAGTCTACTTACCAACTTATTGATTGTTACCGAGTTATGTTTACAGATCCGAGAGCTTGACCGCACTTATGTATAGTGATGCATTAAGCCTAAATTCGAATGTACTAACGATGGGGTAATGATAAAGCTAGAAATGATTAAAAATGTATAGAACGGCATAATTACGCAGGGGAAGGCTTAAAATCGGAAAACTCGATCGGATTTTCTAGATCGTGTTCTTTTTCCCTGGCACAACATCACAACCATCACTAATGCACTAACTTGTGTCCTCCGTATTGGATTGACCACCTGAGAGGACTGATACTAAAAAACGATCGCGACTCCGGACCTCATACGATAGGAGCCTTATAGGCAGATGGGGATTTAGTTTAGAAACTCCTTGGAAATGATGTATGTAGTCTTTATCGCGACTCTGGACCACATACGACAGGAACCATATAGGCGGGCGGCGGATGTAGTTTGCACTAAAGGTTGTGCAACCCTTTGGAAACATTGCATGCTGTCGTTACAAAGACGCAATCACTTTTTAAGGATCAGTCCTCTGAGGTAGTCAATCGAGTCGGAAGTACACAAGCCTTCGAGGCAGTTAGTGTATAGTGGTGCGTCTGTTGTTCCATGGGCGAAGAACACACAATCCAGAAAAAGTAAAAGTTCTCCGATTGTATGCGATCCCCTTTGTCATCACGCCATATCATACACATCTATAATTTCAAGCTTTTTGATCAACCAAAACAATAGTATATCAGAATTTAGACTTAAGACATGACTACAAAAATACAGTCATATCTTGGCACCTACGACGAACACAACTAGGTAACATTAAATAAGTTAATAAGTATAGATTCTGTTTCATTCGTGTAGTTAGTTACGCACTCTACAGATAATTACCGGTTTTTATTAAAAGTCAGATTAGGGCGCCAAGGTAAACCCTGTATATTGGTAAACGCAATGCTAAGATGTACCAAGTAGCAGTCATTGCACCCCAAAAAGGGTACCTTCAACCTTTTTAATCCACCACAATCTCCTAGTAGTCCTGGTGCTTGCCGTCGCGGTGAGAAATTAATTCTGCAAACCTGAAATGAAAAGTGACTTGAAAGAAATGAAATAGACAATGACTTATAAATACTATGTGGTAGCCTACTCGTATTTATTCCAGTGCTCTGGTACATCATATCGGTACACATATTCTCCTGTTCGTTGTAGTACTCAACCCCCTGGTATCTTTAGTTGAGGCCCATTTACACTAAAATAAATATATTTTTTTTTTATTTTTTTTTTTTTAAATCTAGGGTTTTGTATCATCATACTTTTTTTTAACTTCAAACAGTACGTCTTCAACATTTCTTCGTTTAGGAGACTTATTGTGCAATCATAAAAAATTTAAATTATCTAATTAAAATATGTTCATTGCATTACAGTAGAAAAATCAGTCAAAATAAAAACAAGTAATTTATTTAACAAAGTTTTTAGATTTTTAGACGAATTATTTACATCCATGTTACTAATAAAATAATTCCAAAAAATTAAACATTGTACAAATAATACTAATTATAAATTAATGTGTATGGGGTTGCGTTGCTTCTGGGAAAAACATCGCAAGGACCCATACACCGAATGAAAAAAAATAATTTATTAACGAAACGCGAATTACTAGAACCTGCCGTGGGGGGTAGGCGACAGGAACACATTTAAACGCGAAAATCGTTTCAAACGATATTAAAATTACGAACAAGTCCTCGCACGAACAAAAAAAAAATTAAAATGTGGACGCAAATAACTCAAAATTATAATTTAACAAAATTATAAAAAATAATTAAAAATTGTCAATGTGATTGAATAAAAAAAATTCATGCACAATAAATCCTTAAAGCACTCCGCCACTGCGCAAAACACTGTATGAGATCTGAAACAAAACAAATGTAGTCAATCGTAAATATTTGAAACATAAGATTTATATTGAAATTTAATATTATTTGATTATATTTAAATTTAATTATCTAAAGATTGCATTAAATTATTTATGTTAACTTGAAGGCTAAAATTAAATATTTTCACAACAATAAACACGTGTTTATTGTTATTTATTTTACCTTAGTACTAAGGCGACACTTCAGCACAAATATATTGAATTAGAAAATGTAACGCAAATCGTTTAATATTAAAGAGACGAATTTTTACTTCAATTTATTTACATTCTTATAATTATAATTCAACAGAAAATCAAGTCAAATCGAATCAACCAAAACAAGTTCTATGACACGTATTTGAAACTGAATGCACGAAATGATTACATAATACATAAATATTTTTTAAAAGACTTACCACTGCCTAGTGTTCACCGAGAGGTCCAAATACAGAATGATTTTAGTTGTTATTGCGAACCTCTTTTATTGGGGTCAAAAAGGGACAAAACTATGAATTGTTACCAGATGATACTAAAATTCAAAAATTGTTATCTAATTGAATAGTTTCGGGTTCGGAACCATAGAGGGTGCAATAAAAAAAGGTTATTGTACCTCACAATCAGTCATAATTCAACCTTCGTGACGGATGGTCGAAATTATTACTGCTAATATTTGCAACTAGTTCTGTTTGATTCATATATTTGATTTGATTGTGAAGTAAGTTGTGAGTAAGAAAATTCGAAAATGTCCATATTAAGGACCGCCCATATATATATATATATATATATATATATATATATATATATATATATATGAAGGTGTATGAATATTACCAAAAATATATTCAGTTACTGTACTGTGTAATTACTAATGTAATTACTATTCGTGCGTGTCAAGTGTTCATTTATAAGTTTTCTGAAATGATTTTTATTGTATTTTTGTCTGAAAAGCTTCATTGTTAATATTATATCTTCCATCCACACGCTATTATCAACAAATAATTCACTATACCATTATCTATCCACAAGAAATCATTAAGAAAATACAGAAATATAGGATGATATGTAAACCCTATGTTCACTTTCACATCACATTTAATACATAACAATTAAAATAATATATATTATTTTAATATACTTATAATATGGCAATTCAAACATTCATAAAAAAGGAATTTGTTTCTAATGTCTTTAATTATATGGTGCATACGCTTTCTGCAATATCGAGCCACGGTAAGTAATAAAGAATTAATTTAAAATAATATTTGTTACATACTAAGAATAACTAGCTGTAAGTGGAATTCTGTCTTAAGGCAATTAGGGCATCGTGCCTTGGGGCAAATTGCTGGAACTTCCCGTACCAAAAATTATTATTTTTTTTTTAAAACGATTAACATTTTTGAAAAAAAATTACTTTGAAAAAATAAGATTTTTGAGAAACTATAAATTGGACAAAAAATTAGTTTTATTTTGAAAAAAAAAATTTTTTTTTTAAAAATTTTTTTTTTAAAAAAATTTGTTTTTTTTGAAAAAAATTTTTTTTTCTTTATTTTGACATATTGTGGAAGATCTGAACTTTTTTTTCAAAAAATCGTACTGCTTTAACTACATAGGGACAAAATATAAAGCGCGTAAGCGCCGCGTCGCTGTCTAACGCATAAGCATTGGTACGGAACCGATAGGAATGTTAACAAAATGTTATTATTGTTAAAATCTCTATAAAATGTCTGATAATTTGATGTGCATATGTCTAATGATCATTTTTGACCGCCAAATGGCTCATTTTTTTACTTTTCCTCTATATCTCCGAAACCGCTGGACCTACCTTCATGAAAGTTGTATCGATTCTTCATCTCTGTCAATACAAATAAAATGTTTTTTGAATTATTAAAATCGGACGCTCCGTTCTCTTAACAACTGAGTTACCGTTTTCGGAACTTTTGCCCCGTATCTTCGGAACGGCTTGACCTGCCTTTGCCAAAACTAATCAGCACGTCTTTATCAATACGGATCGAATGTTTTTTGAATTATTCAAATCGGTTGATCCGTGTTCCCGAAATCGTCGACGAAAATTTGTATCCGCACATACATACAACACTACATACAGCAATACACACACAACACACACACATTTAACATCGAGGCTTACTTTTGAAAAGTTACAAGTATACTTTGTATATATAATACCTTCTCTGGTCAAAATAAGTATTATTTTATACTTATGGAAATATATGTATATATGTCAATAAAATATTTTTGTGTAGTATTATATGGTTTATACCTGCATATTCTCTGTGTGGATGACGATGCACGTTGCAAAGCACTTCTGGAGTCGCCTTGAGGAACGCCCAACTATTACTTCCGTGGAACGAATAGATTTGAATGGAACACAACTTTTCCAACAATTACATTATGTCCTCATTGGAATGTTAATCAGACTGCTATGGAAATATTTGCCAGGTGATTTAGTTTTCATATTATATTTATTATTATATATTATTTATTATTTATAATTATATTATTATTTTCCGAACTAAAGACCGTTCGTATCATAGATAAATAAGTATAAATGTTCCTATAGAGCAGTTCTTCAATATATGTACACCCAACCATACTTATCTATAACTAGTTTTTGAGCTGTTTGAGATCAAAGTATCCTCAAATATAATTTCAGTGAGTTTTAAAATATTGTTATTCTTAATGATCAAATTATATTTATTTACATTTCTTTAGATCAATAAGGAGGCTTTTAATTCAGAGTATTCAAATAAAATCAAGAAATATCAACAATAACTAATAAATGCATGCGCGGATTCTATGATTTTTATTTAGTGCACATATATTGTAGTCATGAAGTAATTGAAGAAACAATATTATTTTATATGAATTATATTTGAAATTTATTTTCGCAGGAAACATACACATTTTTATTAATATTTATCAATATGCCAATATTTATTGTTATATTTTTTGCAATTTTCAGGCAATATTCTATAAATAACACATCAGGACTACAAAATTTCTTACGAAAACTCATTCAATTTGATAACAGAAAACATTTTGATATTCCTGAATATGATGAACTTCCCAGTCATTTATATCTAGAGGTAAAATATTTCAATAATATCTTTACCTTCGAGAAATGGAAATTAAAATTAAGTTTTATAAGAAATTTATTACAATTGATATTTTATAATTTTTAGGCATTAAAACAAATAATCAGTGATGTGAAAGCGCCAGCAACGACTGGTGAAGGCATCGTTTTAAGAAAATCTCGTGTCAGCGGAACTGTAGGAATATGTTATGCATTTAATAGTGAAATTGCTCATAAATTAGATAAAAGGTAAAAAATTATGCATATTATCATAAGCAACATGTTAAAGTTTTCTTTTCTAGGAATATCGATATAGATTTACCGGACATTATGAAGGTGCACGCCCTTGATAACGATGCATTTGCTCAAATTCTGGAAATGGAAGCTGGCTATGATGTAGGTATTTATCTGGGTAATTGAAAATTTTCATGAAGTATTATTTTTTTAAATTGGTGGTTTATTAGCATTGTTAAGAAAAATGCTGTAAAAAAATTGTGTTTAAGAAGTATGTATCATTACAACAGCTTTCGGAAGAAATTACTGTAATCTCAATTTTTTTTTTTGAATTTTACGTTTGATTAAATTGTATATGTACAAGCAATTACTTTATTTTTGTGAAAATATTTTAGATTTACGCCCATAGTCCTTACGAAATTGCAGCAAAAAATGGTGCCATAAAATGTCCTGTATTGAATTCGTGCTTTCTTCAATTTAAAGCAATTTCGCTCGTTTGTGCAGAAGGAGTGAAAAAACTATCTATTGAACAACGGAAATGCAGGTAGATATAAAATATTATTAAATTTTTTGTCGATAATAAAACATATTTTTGAAAGTACTCGCGCCCGAAGAAAAATAAATTTCTTTTGTTTCTTGAGAACTTAAAGCATCAACTGTATCATATGTATGATGACCATAGGTTCCAGATTGGTCGGGACAGTCCCGGATTTACATTACCTTATTTCCCTGACTTTTTAAAAAACAAGTTGATCCTGGATTCAGACTTTCTATTCCGGATTCAATTTTATTGTTATTTTTTTTACGCCAAGTCTCAAGCTTCTGTCCCGGATTAAAAAAGAAGTCACCTTAGTTATATGACAAAACTTGATGTAAAACGTTTGTTAAGTAATAATAATTGTCAATTCAAATTATGTTAAAAGGTCTTGTTTAAACAATTTTATCATAGGTTGGCAGATGAACCAGAAATTGGATACCACTGGCCTATATACACCCATGATATTTGCAAAATGGAGGCAGAAGCTCGAGAAAGTCTAAAGCTGTGCGGTTGCATTAATTTTCTTATACCCCCATTGGGTATGTATTATTATAGTAATATAGGCATAAATATTGGCCATAAAAAATATTTATTATTACCAATATTTTGGTATATTTATGCAAGGCATAACGTTTTGTTTTAGAAGGGGAAAAAATATGTAACGTGTCAGGGATGAGATGTCTATATAATAATGCTGGTGAGCTCAAACATATATATATAAGTCAGAATAAAGTTAGGATCAAGCTAGGATCGAGCTGACTCTATTATCATGTTAAATATATGTGATTTTAATAAATATACTTTTCTAGCACGTCTACACGACATAACTCAAAATACATTGTGCTTGCCAAACTGCGAGAATACCTACTACACATTTCATAGTGTGCAGAGGGTGTCTTGGTTTCAAGGATCAAATTTGCGATGGGAACTCCAAAGTTCACCACGTGTTCGTTTTAAGCGGAATGTGATATTTGACAAAGGTGATATGTTAGGTATGTTTAAATTTTTATATATAACTATATTTGTGTGAATATATTTGTGTTTGAGATCAAATTAACTTTCAAAGAATATGTATCATATATTCTTTTTTTTATAAGTATTTTTAGGAAGTACGATTGGATTGTTCCTCGGGTGTAGCATGTTGACGTTAGTTGAAATAGTTTCTATGGAACATTGCAAATAATATGGCGAGCAAAATGCAAATTTCAATACACTTAATGCAATCATTTTATTGTCTTAGATCTTGTAAAATAATTGTGAAATGAAAAAATATTAAATTATTAAATATTATCACTATTATTATATATATATATATATATATATATATATATATATATATATTATATATAATGTATATAAAAATATATTTACATGGCGTATCTATTAAATAGTCATTTAGGCACATATGATTTTCGGATACTAGGGATCAAAATAAGATACTTTGCCGAAGAAACCATATCTCTAAAATGAATTCAGATGCCCCGTGAGTGCCCCACTTTAATATATATATATATATATATATATATATATATATACAATTAATAAAATATATGCCTTGCATATCATTGTTAACTTATTTCATATATGTGATTTGTAATAAATGCGGACAATTATTAACTGGGTCATATGGAATACATACAGAAGCCTTATCTCGAAAGTTACGAATATATCCGTTCTCTTCAAAATAATTTTTAATTCTCATAATTAATTACAATTGCATTACAATAACAAATTAATCTTCCATTGCTGTCAAGTTCTGTGATATATGGCAACTATATCTGTATAATAATATTTTGTACTATATAATATTTTTTCATTTTTTCTGATGACCACAAGTCGAAGTCGAAAAGTATCAAATAATAAATATTCTGAAAAATTATTTTTTTGCTTCATAATACTTTTGATTTTATACGTAATCATTATAAGCAGAATGGGCCAATCTAAAGATATAGACTGATGGTCTGTATAAGATATCAAATGTAGCATCTACTCATTGATAACCGAAAGGTTATCAAAATTTAGTCGGTTTATATAGCTGGAAGCAAGCTTTTATCCGATACTAAATAAATTCTCTATGCAATGATATTTGAATAATTCAACTGAATATAATTCAAAAAGACAAGAAACAAAAAATTAGACAGCTGAATCTCAATTCTTATAAGATTAACCAGCGATTATTTACACGTATCGCGAAGTTCATGCAACTTCACATAAAATAAGGTAGTTCTTGTAAAAGATATAAATAGTTCTTGTATAAATTGTCTATTTTGTTTCGACCGTTTGCTCCTTTTCGACGAAACGGCTAATTCGTTTCGTCGAAATCCGTTAACGGGCAAAAAACGTTTAACGAAAACTGTTCGTTAACGCAACGCCCATCATTAATGTCAGATTGACAGAGTAAACAAACCAATCTATACTTATGAGAACAATGTATATCTATGGGATCATGCTACACAATTATTAAGATAATGACGTTTAGCAAGCTCCCAAAGTGAACACGTCTACAATTAAATATGTATTATAAATATTATTTCATCTTAGTTCAGTAATAGAGCTTACTGTTACTTATCTAATTAGTCCAATTTTTTAACGATCTGTATTTTATAATTAAAAATGGCAAGCCCTAGAACTAGACGAGTTCTTCAAGAATTAAGACCTCATGATGAAAATACAGTGAGTGGTGGTCATTATTTCTTTTTAATAAATTGTTATTTTTAAAACGTAAATTGTGACAAGAAGTATTTGTAATAGTGGACCTATATATCATACGTAAAGTTAGTTTTAATATACTTTTTTGATGAACTTTGCGCTACATATGTTATCCGACCCAAGTTCGACCGTCGGTTTAGTACAATAAATAATAATGAGTTTTTTATATAATTTGTAAATGAAAGATATATATTGCTGCCTTTCATTTATATCCTGAAATCAATATTTTTTCATTCATCTTCTCTTACATATGTTAATAAACCTTATATTGTATCAATCCAGAAATTTTTAAATTGACTTTTGATGTCAAGATTCAATAGCACATCTGTTTACCAAGGTTTTATGAGTGTTTATTGTAAATAATAATATTAATCCAAATATATTTAATTATTTATTTTATTTTAATAGAAATGTTTTGAATGCCAAATGCATAATCCTCAATGGGTCTCCGTAACTTATGGCATTTGGATTTGCCTGGAATGTTCAGGAAAACACAGGAGTCTCGGAGTTCATTTATCATTTGTACGATCTGTCACAATGGACAAGTGGAAAGATATAGAACTAGAGAAAATGAAGGTAAATAGTTCAAATATTAATAAATAATCATCATATATATTGTGTATATATATATATATATATATATATATATATTGTATTTATGTATGCATATTTTAAGGTGGGAGGCAATAAAAAAGCAAGAGAATTTTTTGAATCCCAAGATGATTGGGATGACTCTATGACCATCAATCAGAAATATAACACTAAAGCTGCTGCCCTTTATAAAGATAAGGTACAATGAAAAATATTAATAAATTCTATAATATCTGTTATTGATATACTATAATGGAAAGTATTATAAGTAAGGAGTATGATAGAACTTTATTAAACATTTATTTTATAATTTACTATGTAGATAAATTGTTTAGCTGAGGGTAAGGATTGGGATATATCTAAATCATCGGCTCAAATAAATAGAACACAGTCACATGGCAGTCCCACTAGGAAAAGTAGAAGTGCAAATTCAACATTCCAAGGTGGAAATAGTTATCAAAACATAAATTCTCAAGAATTTTTAGAACAAAAGCAAGCATTTTTTGCAAATAAGCAAGCAGAGAATGCTCAAAGATCAGCGTAAGTAAAATTACATTTTAAATTTAATAATTATTAACATCAGATTTCACACTGAATCATCTTTACTGTAAAGCATATTCATATATTGTTATCCATTTTTTCAATATTCATATTTTTATTAATGCTCCTCAATTTTTTTCTGAATCAAATTTATAATCAACTTTGAATTCAAAATATATTTATGATTTTAGAGATTTGCCACCCAACCAAGGTGGACGTTATTCTGGTTTCGGATATACTGCAAATCCGCCACCTAAATCCCAATCTAATGAGCTTCTTGATAATACAATTTCTTCACTAGCATCTGTGAGTATAATAAAATTATAAGCTAAATTTAAATTGTATAAATTAAATGCAATGTAATTATTTTAGAAAAGAAATATTTTATATAAAATATTTGAGTTTTATCATTTTTTTTATATTTTAGGGATGGTCATTATTTTCTGTGAGTGCATCCAAATTAGCAAGCAAAGCGACAGAGAGTGCCATTAAACTTGGAGGGATTGCTACCCAAAAAGTTTCAGATATTTCATCTGTTGTGGGAGAGAAGGTGAGGAAGTATTCGAGCAAATCTACTGTCTAAGAACTAAAGAAGAAGATACACTCTAATGTATAACTAGATACAATTGACAATATTAAATTTTTTTCTAATTGAAGTAAATATTTACTGCATTAACTTGTCAATCTGAAGAAATAAGATCAGCATTTGAAAGACAACTGAACTAGAATTAGTACCAGTATTATTTTTAACCATTTTGATTCAAATAAACAAAGGTTTATTGCATTATATGTTACTATCATCATACAGATGGTTTGTTGTTGTTAATGGATTTTATTATTTTTTTTTCTTATTATTTTGACCATAATTCTACTTTTTCTATAATATATTTTTGTTTTATTTTCAAGGTGACTGATATAACTAAGAAGAGTTGGAGCAATTTAAATGGAGACAACTTTTTAGGCAGTCAGTCCAGTTTAGCAGGTACAAGTAATAGTCGATCAGATCCATATTCTAATAATTTTAATACTGCTGCAGAAGGTGGATATCAAAGATCATGCTCCAATTACACAATTAGTAAATCAGAACCTCAGGATGAGTGGGGTTGGCAAGAATCTAACAGGTATTAATAATTTGTGTGCACATTGTTCATATATTATGAATATTTACCACTTGATATATGATTATACTGATCACAAAGAAACAATTAGGATGTAGCCTTATTTATAATGTATATTTTTTCCTATTGTTGTATAAATAAAAGTTTTTATTTCAGAACTGCATCTGTTCCTAATGCAAATTCATGGAAAGACTGGGAGCAACAACCAGAAAGCAAGAATAATGACCAAGATGAAAGAACTAAATTTAAAAATCATTCTGCAAGTACACGACAAAAAGTAGATCAAGCATCTGATGTTAAACTTGTCAATTTGGATGAATTAGATGTTCGTTCCATCAAACCAAAAACCTATCAAAATGTAACAAAGCGTGAAGATGATGAAGCTTGGGAATTACTGAATAGTTGAATAGAACTATTAAAATTATAATGAAAAATCTTATGGCAAATGATATTTGAGAACATTGTTAACTCATCGCAGTTAATTCAATAAATTAATTCAATATATTAATGCTGAATTTTTATTTTAATCAATTAACATTTTTAATCATAGATTTTTATTTCAAAACTTATGAGTAAATTCATATATTGCACACAAATTGTAGAAATGTTTACATTAAATTTTTTTTTTTTAATTTTTATTTATATATATATATATATATATATATATATATATATATATATACATTATTTTCATATCTCAGTCAGGCAGAGGTGCCTGGTATGAGAGATTACGAAAAACAGTTTTCATATAATATATACTCGTACAACATACAATTTCTAGAAGCATCATATTCTAAGCATTCATTCATCATTTTGCTATATATTTATCTGGTAACTTTTATATACAAGAAAATTTGTAAAAATATATTCCAAACAGATCAATTAATTTTAAAGAAAATATTAACAATTAAATTTTGACTTTTTCAAGTGCCGGCGGCCATCTTGCAAACATCAATTATCATTTGTCAAAGAGATTTTTGTGAAGAAACGTGTTCTCGCGTTAATTAACAGTTATTAATTAAATACTTATGTCGATTTAATTAATTTATGCATGAAATCGTCTAATTAATTTAGTAGAATAATCTGAAATAAAAATATATCGTAAAATGTTCATAAAGCAGCAAAAACTGGTATGTGTTGAAATGCTTCAGTGTACCTTGAATAGTCATAATTCTCTTTCAGGGCCCCATTTGGATTAAATTTTATAATCATACATTTTATTTACAGCTAATGTATCCTTTATTTATATATATATGTAGTTACCAAATTTATAATTTATGTGTATACTTTTGTAGGTTATACTTAAGCATTTCCAACTCATCTATTATCAAATTTTATGTTCACAAAAGTCTCTAATGTGTAAATCGTGTATTGAATGATATGTAAATACTATAATCGGACAATTACAACGTGTCAAATAGACTTATAAAAGAAAAAGTTAAGTATGTTTTGAAAGTGGTTATTTTGTGTCGAGTGCTGAAGATTTCTGGCAGATGCTCCAGATGTGGCTTACATATTGGTTTTGTGATCTAGCAGATGATGCAGAGGACTTTTATCAATGTAAGTGCAAAGCATGTTTTACACAAAGAGAGCCAAAGAATATGTTTCTGGAATTATATGCAGGCTTTTATTTTACAACATGTATTGCACCAATATTGTTTTAAATGAATTTAACATGTAATTATATGTTTGAATTTGACATGTTTAAAAATCTTTAATCTTTGTTGTTTGAGATATAATGGAAAAAAGAAAAGTTATGACATATAATTTATTTTTTGAAGAAGATTTACTATTATTGATTATTATTTACATGCAAGTGTTTAGGCTTGCAATAATAATTTTTATTATTCCTAATGTAATTATAGCCTGTTTTCAATATTGTTTCAACCGTAATCTCAATTTTTCTAACTAATTTTATGCTTTTCTAAAATATTATATAAAGTAAAGCCTGTATATATTTTAGAGAAATATTTTCAGCCTTGTGCATTACTAATATTTTATATACATATATCTGCTAAATATATGTTTTCAATATTGTTTCAACCGTAATCTCAACTTGCCAAATTTTTATTTGATTTTAAGCAGCCTGTATATATTGTAGTGAAGTATTTTCAGGCTTTGCATTACAAATATTTTATATACATAGTTCATGTATGGTTTATATATGACTCAACATCATTTTTTAATCTGTTGCTATAATTTAATTTGTTGCTTTTTCAATTCTAGTAATGCATAAAATACACTTCATCTTTTGTTTATTTATCATCGACTATTATATGATTGAGAAATTTTAAATTTATTTAGCAGAGATATGTGTAAAAGTTATCGAATATCACTTGCAAAAGACTTAAGTATGTTTTAGATAATTCAATTATTAGAATCATTTTGTTTGATTAGCCAGTGATACTCGATAAACAAGAAAATGACTTTATCCAATTCATTATGGGGAAAACATCTTGATTCAATTTTGCTTTTTATTTGAGCAATTGCAATTTATATGATTTATTCAATTTCTTAAATCGATATGATAGAAAAGTACTTTTTGCATTGAAATTCAATTGTTTTTCATAATAATTCTAAAAATAATGGCTGTTGATTTAGATGTTCTAGACCTTGTGTTATATATCACAATTTTGTAAGTTATTAGGTAACTATTTGAATATTTTATTGAACTAATGCATTGATTATTAATTTGTTGAGGCACTTTTCGAACGCTGAGATAAATTGTTGTACTTTTGCTACACAGAACTTTAGTTCTGAAGAGTCATCCGTTTATCAGTTAGCATTGCAACAGCAAAAATATCTTAAGTGCCAAGAGTTCTTTTTTAATTTTACAAAAGGAAAGTTACTTTATTTCAAAATTATTTTACAAAATAAAGAATTTCAGAATTACATTTCTAGTATCAAGAATCATATGTTTTCCCTGTAGCGATATTGACTGCATGTGTACATTCTTATTTATGATTGTTGGTTTTGATCAAATTATTTCAAATACTCAATACGACTTACCAAATTGAGAATTAAACGCAGCTTTTAAAAGTTTTTAACTGTACTTTTAATTTAAATTTATTCAATTATTTTGCTGCATTGCTAAATGATAGATTTTTATTCCTATATTCTTAAAAACGATTTTGATCAAGACATGCAATCAAAGTTACAAAGAGTTGACTTGAATGAATAGACAAAATATAATTTTGTTAACAAGTTTATTATTTTATTCAAGTTGTAAAAATTATTTAACTCGATTTCTAAAGGATAACAATGAGCTTTTAACAGTTTTGAATTTTTTAATTTTCAAGTTCTTGAACATTTTTTAATAATTCATTTTATAAGTTTTTTTGAATTTCTTTTATAGCTTTCTCCAATAATTTGTATATTATTCAAGTCAACTACATTTGTTTCTGTCTCGATTAATTGTAAAGGTTTCACATGTTTTATCAAGTCGTATAAACAATTTTGATTCGATTAATATCATTTCATTTCATCGATTAATTAAATAATTTTCTCGAAAAATTTTTTTTTCTAAGTCCAAATTTTCTGATTATAATTCTTTCAAATAATTTTTTTTTTCTAAGTCCTTTCAGATATTTTTTGTTTTCTAAGTCCAAATTTTCTGATTATAATTCTTTCGAATATATTTTTTTTTTTCTAAGTTCTTTCAGATAATTTTTTTTTTAAGTCCAAATTTTCTGAAACCTTTTCAATTAAGACAGACGAGTTATTATATTTATGCATGCTGTATTATCCCAAAGCCAACATTCGAATGAATGAGGCTCACATTGAATATTTCACAACGAGAAAATTTTATTGGGACAAAGTTAAAAATTTTAACTAAGTCCCAGTAATTTTTTCTCGTTGTGAAAACTTCAACGTGGACTTCATTTCATTCGAGTGTTGGTTTTGGGAATTGGTGTGAGGGAACACTAAAAAACATAAAAAAGTTTCAACGCTGAACAGAAAAGAGAAAAATTGATCTGGGACTTAAGGGGTTTTTTTTTTAGGCTCTCCACCCTCCTTCTCCCTCCTCCTCCTCCTCTTTCCCCTCTTTTTTCCCCTTTTTTCCGCTTTTTTTCACATTTTTTTCCTTTTTTGGTGTTGTTTTTTTTGCATGTTGTGTTTTTTTTGGGTAGATTTTCGGGATCGGCATGCATCTTCCGCAATGTGTCTCTCTGCGTGTAACCTCTCGCATCATGGACCTCAGGTTGACCATCACTTGGTGTGTTCGTTTCAGGACCCTTTGCGCTCGCCAACAGCTAGCCACCAGCACTGCTCCATTTTTTCTGCTTCAGAGTTGGTCGTCGTCGCCTTCAGCTGGACTCGATCCGTCTTACCTTGTGCCTGCCTCCAGAGCGATTTCACCGAGTATGCGGTCACTTAAACCGCTCGGCTATTTAAGTTATTGCTGATAAAAGTTATTTTTATTCCTATATTGTATTAATATTGAATTTTAATAAAGAATATGTATCATACACATCTCTCTTATTCATCATCTGCCTCTACCCCTCTCTTTCCCCAGTTCTTCCTCTACCTTTTTTTTTTTTTTTTTTCTCTTTATGTATCTCTCTTACAGTCAAGTGCGAACCTTGAATTTTTCAGAAATATTCTAAGTGTCAAGGTCGAAATGCGACACCTGAATTTAATATTTTGAACTAATATTTGATAATTATGAAAAACTACACATTCGATTTTTCAAGCATCTTCGGGATTTGAACCAAGAAACACTGAGCTACCGTAGTGGTAACTTAACGACCTCGGCCAATTGGTTATACAGAACCGTCGGCTATTTGTAAAAATATAAAGTCTTATTTTTAAGATGAAAGATATAAGTTTCCTAAAAATGTTGTGTGACAATGTGCGAATGGCTGAGGTCGTAAAGATACGGTTTAGGCCAGAATAACAATTCGAGGTTCGCCAGTTCGAACCCCATTTGTCTGAAAAAAATTCAGAACCAATAATTTTTCTAACTGTGTAAATTAATAAGACATATTATAGATAAATAATTAGATTTATTGAGTGTCAGCATTACAAAAATCGACATAATATATATGTGCATATATATAAATATAAATGTATATATATATATATATATACGCATGTATATATATATATATATATATATATATATAAATATATAAAAGATAAGAAAATAGGAAAAGGATAATTTTTAATAAATTCATATTTACGCCTGGTTAGCAGTAAACCAAACCTACTTTGGTGTAATTTAAAAATCTTATTATTTTTTCGATAAAAAGACAGTCTATCAGGAGCAGTCAAAATTGGCCAAAATCCTGACATTCAAATGCAATTTTAAGACCCTTAATGAATGAAATTAATAATTAATGCTTTGTGTAGACTAAAGTACAATCTTTATACCAAAGCAAAAAAATTACAAATTTATCATCGTCTTCATAGTTAAAATCAGCTTCAAAGTTGGCAATTTTTCAAACTTCAATT